TCTTGCGCTTGGAGCTCTCCTTCTCCTGGAGACGTTGTAGCTCTTCCTGGATGGCCAACTCCTCATCCATGGGAGCTACCTCTGCGACCTCCTCAGGTTCATCGGTCTTGGATTGCCCTTTTTTGACTACAAGCCCAAACTTTTCACGGACCTTTAAGCGCCATCGGAGCAAATTCCGAAATTCTTTTTTGCCTAGGATCTTCAAATCCTCACAGCAGGTCCGAATCTCGTCCGTGGTCTCTTCCAGTCTGTTCAGAGTCGCCAACGCAAGGTCTCCTCCCGGAGATTGTTGGAAGCTGAGCTTATTATAAGTACCAAGAATCGCGATTGGATCAGTGGTGTTGATGAACTCTGTGACCGGTATTTCCTTGAACTGTGTGTAATCACCTTCTTCGTAACCTTCTCTCTTTCGCTTCTTCTTCTCCGGATTGAACACACGCGCTTCGTTATTTGGCGTAGCATCTGTCAATTCTGCAAAAACATGCTTGGGGTCGAGGAACTTGGGGTCAATGCGTTTTGGAGCTTTGAATCCACGGCAGACGACGAAGATTTCTGCGGAGACATTTCGAGAAGAAGGAGGCTTTGTCGCCTCCACAGACGTGAAGAGCTGCTTGAAAACCCAGAGCAGAGGATTGTAGTCCTTCGATCTGAAGACCTTGGTGACAAAGGTACCACCCTCAACCAAGAACTCCGTGGCCAACTTCATCGACTGCAAGACCAACTCCGCCTGGGAGAAAGCATCCTGAACCCACGCCGTACCAACATTTGGAGCTCCATCGTGAAGAACAGTATCTGCCTTCCAGTGTTTCAAATGCTGTCTAATCGTAGCGCGACACTTTTCTGTCGTAATATCGCTCTGAAAGGTAATGACACGAGGAATTGGCTTGATTGGGGCGAGGTCGACACCGACAATGATGCTCTGTGTGGGCATACATTCTGCCGCTACTTGGCACCAAGACTAATGTATCATAAGTAAAGAGATCAGCGGGAAAAAATGAATGACTACACGTACACCGGGAGCCGCGCAAAGATCCAGGAGGACTTTGCTCTTTTCCAAGAAACCATACTTCTTGTTTAGCTGGATCAATTTGAAAGCAGCTCTTGCTCGGTATCCTTTTTCTTTCGCAAGGCGATACCACTTGTCCAAACGACCTTTACCGTGCTGGTCGATGTTAGCGCAAAAGAAGTCTTCCAACATAGAGGGATTAATTGATCCTGTCGTACCTTTTTTTGGATCGCCATTTCTATGAATGGGTAGTCGAGACAGGCTCGACAAGATCCGGGAAGTGCACGACAAAATTGATGTGGTTTAAGTGATTACAGAGAAAAAGTCACAACGAACAAAGGAAGTCAGAGAATGACCAGAGGCTTATCCAGCGTGTTATCCTCCGCTGATAAATTTCTCCCCGGAGGAAATAATTTTTCTGGTCTTTGGCGGGTCCCGCCCGGACTCCCGTGGCGGTGAAGAGATACACCAGCCACAGTGTATGCCTCAGGTATCCTCAGGTATCTCAGGGCGGTGGAAATGATCACAGATAACATGTGACATGATATCAGTGTGTGTTCTCTGCCCGACAGCTTGGTTGTGGTGCAACAGGCCGACAGTGGCGGCTCTGTTCGACGCTGATCACTAGCAGGCACTCCTGTAAGACTCTTCATCTATCATCGTTCATAATTGTTTTATCTTCTTGTTGACTTGCACATTGATATTTACTTTGGTAATGTTCTATTTCCATCGCCCATGGCGCCAACGGGATCTCGTAAGAGAATAAAGCCCAGCCCGTCCGGCGCGCAGTCGCAATCATCTGCCTCATTGAGCACCGAGATAACCTCGTCTCCAGTAGGCGCAAAGCGCTCAGCCTCGCAGAAGCAGGGAAGTGGTGTGAGTAAATTTTCCTTGTCATTCAATAGACAGTAGGGATATTTGAGTCCAGTAAAGCTGATCTTATTCGTTCTCAGAACTGGTACCCTGCTCTTTGGCCCGCAGTGTCTAAAGCATCTAAAGCGGCGCCTGTTACCGAGGTTGCCCGCGAGAGCATTTCGGTCGCTCAAAATGTAGCATCGAGCATGACTACCTCCTCGGAATCCCTCCTTCACACTCCAAAACAACATAGAAATCCTTCCCTTCAGCTTACCAGGAAAAAAGGCGCGTCGACCAGATCTCTTCCTGCCGACGCTACGACAACAAAGATCAACATTGCTTCCGATGGTTCTGCATCCACTCCAACACTGGATTCCCAGTTCGATACTGCCGGTCCAGCACTGAATTTGGTCCAGAAGGAAGGATCAAGCGAGGAGGCTGCAGTGGCTACAGACGATAAGAACGGAGTGCAACTAAAACAGACAACCGACACCTCCCCGTCAGAGACAGGTGCCGAAGCGGTGGAACCGGATCGGGCTCAAACGTCCTCGAAACCAGCTAGTGGCTGGTTCTCATGGTTCTATACAGCAAGCTCAGCTGAAGATTCTCCCACTGGTGCTCAGTCAGAACGAGCGCCTGAGACCGAGAGCACCCCGACAGAGCCGGTCGCGGAAGAGCAAACGCCGAAGAATTGTGAAACTCCCTCAAACGAGCCTGTGAGCAGTGCAGAAACACCCTCTGCCTCGACCACAGAAACTCCTCTGTCATCACAGAAGCGAACCTGGTTTCAAATGTGGTATGGTTCGTCTGCGCCGCCACAGGGGGCGGATACACTCAGGCCCGAAGAACCCAAGGATAACTCCCCAACCAAAGCCCTGGAGCCTTCTTCTGCTGTAAATGCACCCGTCCATGATCCAAAACATGCAATATCGTCTCCAAACCAGCCACCTGCGGAATCTCAGAGAACGGACGGTCCAGTTGATGCACAGGTCAAGAACACTAAGTCGGGCTGGTCGTTCTGGTTCCGAGATTCATCGCATAATTTGAATCAAGTGGCGCTAGCAGATCCTCTGTCGGTTGAGGCTTCAAGCGCGCATGGATCTTGTTCAAACCAGCCTCGGGACAGTCTAGAGGAAGAGACAGGACAGGAACAGAAAGCTGAAGACACCAAGAAAGGCAGCATTAAAATCAAGACTCCTAGGAGCAGTGCTGCTGCCACTGACCAAATCCCCTCTCATGTGCAGGCCCTTCCTCCTGAATCACCCCCACCACGAGTGTCAGAGGCAGCAGCAGCGAAGCAATTGCAGAAGGTACTACCGAATCAAGTCCTACCTCGCTTTTCGGATACTTTTGCTGTGAAGGAAACACCATCTCTCGTGCAAACAATTGGACGGTTCTTGCACTATCGCAGAGAGCCTGATAACAAGCATGTCTATATGATCAGAGATCCCCCAAGCATCAAAAATGCATTGGCCATTGGTGTGCATGGGTATTTTCCCGCTCCACTAATACGGACAGTGCTTGGACAACCAACAGGTACGTCCGTGAGATTTGCCACCATGGCGGCGGAGGCCATCCACAAGTGGACAGAGAGTCATGGCTATGCCTGCGAGGTCGAGAAGATTGCTCTAGAAGGCGAGGGCCGCATCGCTGAACGCGTTGACTTGCTATGGAAGCTGCTCCTCAATTGGGTGGAAAAAATCAGGAAAGCCGATTTTATCCTAGTTGCATGTCACAGTCAAGGTGTTCCGGTTGCGATCATGTTAGTTGCGAAACTCATTGCGTTTGGCTGCTTGAATGCCACTCGTGTTGGCGTGTGCGCTATGGCCGGCGTCAATATGGGGCCATTCTCGGATTATAGATCTCGATGGATAAGTGGTTCGGCGGGGGAGCTTTTTGAATTTGCTCTTCCATATAGCCAAGTCTCGAAAGACTACGAAGCTGCATTGAAATGCGCTCTGGACTTCGGCGTTCGGATATCCTACATTGGGAGTATCGACGACCAGCTGGTATCTCTAGAGGTAAGGCGCTGATCACTATAACTGGACTACTTCGCACTCGCGGTCTAATTGTTGTCCTAGTCGTCTCTCTTCTCACCAGTGGTCCATCCCTACATCTACCGCGCGGTTTTCGTGGATGGTAGAGTCCATGCACCAAGCTTGTACGTTAACTGGTTTCGCAGCTAGATCTTTCCCACCTTGCTAACGTCCTTTCCTTCTGATAGTCTTTCCCATCTGGTTGGCTTCGTGCTCAAACTTCGTAACCTGGGGATCTCGGACCATGGCCTCATTCGAGAATTGAGCTCTCCGCTGGCAGGGAGCCTCTATACAGGAGAAGGTCATTCTCGTCTCTATGACGACGAGGCCATTTATCGGTGCGCTGGCTTGTCCTCGGTACTGACCCTCGTGAGGCTAACGTTCATCCCTTAGGCTGGCGATTGAGTTCGCTCTGGAAACGTCCAATGTCAGTAACGCTACGTTAGACGTCAGAAGGAGTCACCCATCTCCTGCGAACCCCTATATTCTACCGTTTGCCATGCGGGGTATACTCGAAGAAGAGTATGTTCGCCGCGAGCTTTATGAAGAGACAATGCAATTATTAAGGCAATACGATGATTGGAAGCCCTCGAGCAAAGTTCTAAAGGATGTCAAATTCAGACTCGAGGGAATCAGGTCCAAGCTCTAAGCGGGCGCCTGCTGGTGGTTTCCGCCCGTGTATGGATTGGCTTGTTATCCTACTATTGCTTTTTGAGCGTGTTTTGCGTCTAGAATTAGAGATGATTGATTTTTGTGTTGCAGTCTAATCCAGTTCTTCACAGAGATACCTAGACATGGTCAACTTGAGTGAAACCAACTGTGTATATACCAAGTACGCGGATTAGAAGAATATCGCTAATTAGAAGGCGAGAGATGTTGAGGGGTGATCGTGTATCATTGTGAGTGGTAGGGAGGAACGAGGCCAGCACGTATACTTTGACCAAAATGAGTTAACGGGAGAGAAGATAACAATGTCCAGTTCTCAGACCACCAGGGCTGCACTGATTCTTAAGGAATATTGTATCGTGATCTGAGACAAAGGTGAAAGAAAAAGAAATGAAATGAAGCCGCTGAGAGATATAATAGCAGCTACCGAGGAGAAATTATACCGGAGGAAACGCCGTGTGGTATGCACCTTCGATTTCGTCTGTGAAACGAGAGTCAGTCAGATGCTGTCTTCGGGACATCATTGAAGCGGCTGCCTACCTCTCATGCCATCCAACGCCTCAAAAGCAATCGCATAATTTTTAACGGTTTCAATGACACGCTCCAAGCCTTGACGAATCTCCTCGATCAGTCGATCGGAGGCACTGTTTGTGGATTCATTCCCGTAATCTGGTGACATTTGTTTCTCCACTGTCGCTTTGTAAAATATCATCAACAAGGCGTAGCTTCCTTGCATCAGACAGCATGCGAACGATGGCATTGTTCTCGGTAACTGCTTCTGTGGGGATGAGGGCAGACCCTGGCTGGGCGTGTTACTGCCACTCGACGCGTAGAGCGGCTGTGGCAGGGGTAGGCTCGGGAACATGCGTGAGATCGTAAGAGACGCTTTCAAGCAGACTTTGGCGGAGTGCTGGCTACTGTATGGGAAGCCGCTGGTAAATGAGAATGGTACCATGGAGTGATAATCGGAGGTGGCAGAGCCAGAAGAAGAGGCGGAAGCTGTGCAATCGCTCGATGTAGACGGCGGCGGCCGGAAGGAGTCCAAATTGCTGCAGCAACACGAGATGTTCGCCATACTGTCCTGTTCTTTGGACGCCTTGGACGCCGAATCGCCCGTAATCATGTTGTTTGGATTAGCTGCGGTCAGGTCGCAATGCTTCTTGATGAAGAGTGGAATATCCGAGAACGCCCTGAACCGGTGTACCTTAATTTGTGCACTAGCTCCGTATCAGTACCTTTGTAAGTTTTCGAACTTCACCAAAGACTGCTTACCTAGAAAGCTTGATTCGCGCGATAGCGCGTATGCTATGGGCGGTTGTATACTCCACTTCGTCACCGCAGCCCATAGATTGAGGGACCATTGGAAGGAGATTTGATTGTGCTATTGCGGAGCTAGCCCAGGCGTCGAGCTGCTGCATTCTTTCATATATGTAAGTCATGTTGGCGCCGGTCGACATGCATTTCTTCAAGTCGATGACGAATTGAGTTGCGGAGGCCAGCACTTGCTGGGCTTGCATCAAAACAGCCCATCCCTGAAAAACCGGTCAGAACGGTGCTATTTGCTTGTGGTGTGGCTTGCTTGAAGATCATCCTGAAAGCGCTGAAGGCGGGGTGGAAGACTTGCCTCTGGATCTGCAGAGAAACGAGGATATGGTGTAACGAATTGAGGGTCGCTGGCGATTATGGAGAGCGGCTGTAGATCCCAAGATTAGCTACTTTTCAAATTCAAAGGGTCTCGCGAACCGGTTGCAAGTCGACATTGGCTTACCGTTGTGCTGACAATCGAACCCTGAAGCACGCAATAGTACTAGACAGCAGAAAATTAGTGGACGCGCCGCGATGATACCTAATCAACGACCGTACCGTCATCCACCAGGCCCTCCGCCGAGCCTCTGCGCACTCATCATGCTCCTCTCCGAGCGACTGAAGAGACATGTCCAGCGCAATCGCCAAGGCTTGGCCGGCCCGATACCTCATTTTGAGCAGATTTCCTCGCTGTGTATATTCATACACGCAAAGGATCAGCAATGCAAGAAGACTTTCGAGTTCCACAGGTGTCCGTGGATGAAAGGGCTCCCGGTTGATCCTGGGTCGACTGTTCGATAATGCTTGGGACGGTTCTGTCGAAGAAGCTTGTAATTCGCAATCTTCCTCAACACCAGCATTAGCTAGTTGCGCAAATGTATGAGCATAAGTTCTACGCCGTAGCACAGCAACCGGAGATAACGGCTCAGGATCGTCGGGATGCGGCACCAGGGCCAATATAGCGGAGATTGCAAGACTGAGGGGAGATTGTGGTTTGTATGCTAGTAAAGGCTCTCCAGAAGGAGACGACGAATAGTGACCGGCGGAATTGATTGGCCTATCTGGACAGCGCGGAGCGACTCGTGGTGGAAGTATGGGAAAATAATGGTGAATGAAGTCGTAGTATGCATTCAATCTATATTCGAATCAGCGTTCACCAAGCCTTCTGGCTGCCACTGGTCAAAGTGAAGCCTTACATATCGTGTTCGCTGCCATACGTCCTGACCAGAGGCTGCGATGGTATGTTTGAAGGCGAAGGTGTCGGCCCCATCTGACCCTAGGTGTTGCTGCCATTATCCGAAGGGAAGAGATCAGCAAACATTGTATTCACATCCGATGAGAAATCTAACGACCTCAGCCCAGCTCCTGGCAAGGAGAGTACATCAATCTGCCCAAACATCGCCGAGGCTGCTTGAAGGTTAGTGCTGCAATTACAGAGAAGGGTCGTCTCACGTACAGTCATCAAGGCCAGAGGCTGGCGTGAGGCTAGAGTTTTGTAAATCATCCTGCCGGGTTCCTGAATCGGAAGGAGACGAGCTCTTTTTCTTCTTCCTTGGACCGCCTCTTCTACTAGGCAGGTACGAGCATTTCTTCTTCTTGCTAAGACACTTTCAAATGAAAGACCCTGTCTCAGTATGTATAGAGACAAACATAGGAGAGTCAGTATAGAGTAAGTAAACATACGTTGGAGCATGGTTCTTGACCATCGCAGCGCGTCCTCGATGCACGACTGTCGCATCAGAATCAGCATCAAAGGCAACAACCAGCGACAGAGAGAGAAGGGGTAGAGAAACCCAAGTAGTCGAAGAATTACCGACAAAGGCCACGCGGATCAGTAAACATGAAGAATCTTGACGGCTTACCATGTCAGACAAGCTACTTTGACTGGCGGTTTGGCAAACTTCTTCCGAACCACAGTGGGCCGCGAAGTCTTGGATTGTGTAACTGGCGCGATTCCGGTATTAACAGGGTGTGGGAGATTCTCCAGCACCATCTCGAAATCCCGATCAATCAAATCACTTCAATTTCCTGTTCCGAGTCCCCTTCATTCAACGGGGTTTGGTCGTGTCTCGTGCGGGCTTTATGAAAGCGGTCTATATCACACCCACCGCCTCGAAAGGGTTACCTTCGCGCATAACTACTGGGCACAGGGGCCGTACGATCACGGAACTTGTCTCCCTCTGGTGCTGGTCAATCGGGTTCCCAGAGATGTGGTCTGATATAGTTACTGCGAAAAGCTGGGGCCTCGCGCCGTGCCTTAATCATCCATAGCCAACGATCCAAATCCCGAACTCCCACGGTTCGGGATTTGCTTTGGCCCAGGAAAGGGATATGTGGGGCGTAGGATTTACCTCGCATTAACTCATGAAATAAAAGATGATAGGGTGCTCTAGCTAGGGAAGAGACTCATCAGGTTCCCTATCCCCAGAGATGGTTGTATATACAAGAAGCGGTGGTAAGAGATGGATTTTACAATGATGTAGTAAGGGCCGTCAAGCACAATCGTTTACTTTCTGATTAGAGCATCAGGAGTATAACAGTCACGTGATGATTGCTTTTATCCCTGAGGCTTCCTACGAGCCTTGCAACGCGGCAGATATTATTTACAGAAAAGAACTCAATCACTCTCGCTCCGAGGATCTAACACTCGTGTGCATTTGTATTTCCCAAGATCTCAATGAGGGTGACGCAGATCTGCACTTTTGGGCTGAAATTGGAAACCGAGAATTGGTAGCTGTTACAAGTCTAGATACGCCCGCTATATACATGGTTTTAGTGTCCTATGACCATGCGGCAAGTCCGTTATAACTATTAGCCTTGGTCACAACATTACGCTCCATGATTATTACATGGTGTTATGGACAGTCCGCTTTTGAGTGGGCTCCGGTGTGGATGCAGGGATGCCATATTCCAAATACTTGGTTCTATGCTAGATCCGATACCCGAGTTTCCGGAGCTGCTCGAGCATATACATGAAGCTAGCGGGGAGCCCAGCAACCTTGGCCATTGTCTCTAGTATTGCGGTGTTTGGCGCCGACGCGTGGGTGTACGGATCTTTTGCGTTATCGGGAAGGCATCTTGGGTACTCTGATGCCGGGTACACCTCTCACGCTGTCCCAGACACTGTCCGGCACCTTCACTGGAAGCCTGTGGCCTTTGAGCTGTTGGTCTATCAACCACATGCCCACAATAAACTCTTCTCTCGTCAATAGTCCAATCTTCTGCCGATCAACGAGATTCCAGATCTGCTCCAGAATGCTCGACGGCAAGCGGCTTCGGGACCATATGTCGCGAACAACAATGTTCAGGACCATCTCAGATGCACTTGGAGGATAACCTTCGCTGGACGTTTCCTCCAGCGACGATCGTTCCTTCGAATCGCTAATAGGTATCAGCAGTCCCTTGTTTGCAGCCCAAACGCCCTCGTACCTCTTCCTCTCCTTCTCGGTTACCTCGCTTTGCCATCGTTTTCGATCGCCCTCGTGATGTTTGTGCGGGTGTCTGGGTATAATGTGCTTTCTGTGCTTGTTACGGTCGGATTCTTCTTCACCAGCCTTAGTCGGCGGCCGGAGAGTGTGCCGCAAGCTTGGCGTGGGACTGGAGCTGCTTGGAGAGCCGCTGTTGGATGTGTTTGGGTGCCGGAGCGAATTGCTCCTGGGTTGCCGTTGGGGTGGAGGGGGTGGAGGGACCTTTTTTGCGGATGGTGCTCTCCTTGACGCCAGTGATGATGCAACTATCGCATCCGACAGTCCTTCCTCGTCTATACCAGAGGAGTGGTCGATGAGGTAAGGGCTACTACCGTTTTCCTGTGAAGATCTGGCCAACAAGGAAGAGCTGGGAGTCAAAGGACGCTTGCGATGTTCGTGCGCTTCCAGCAGAACGCGAGGATCACCGGGGGAAACGTGCGTCACGGGTGAAGCGTCTGGCCGCGGAGGGAGCTTAGGTCTCGCCTCATCAGCACCTGTAAGATCCACGTCGGAATTTAAAAGCGATTCGTGGCTCTGTTGTCCATGAATCTTCTGTTCACTGGGACTAGGGCCTTTCGAGACCGGTTTTGCACCTCCTTTTCGAGGCAGAGGTGGAGTAGGACGGGGTTTTGTAGCAGACACTGGAGCGATATCTGGGGGTCTTGGTGAAGTAGCTGGCTGCGTTGCAGGCTTTCCGTGAGGCATTGGTGGGTCTCTGACCAATAGTTCCCTGTTGTCTTGGAGAAGCTTTTCAACTGCTTCGGCGCCTGCCGTCATGTTGCGAACAGGCTTCGACATTGGAAGATCAGGGCTTGCTCCATCGTCGCTTCCTTGAGGCTCTGTCTGCTTCAGTTCTGGAGTTGAATTCATTCTTCCCAAGGTTACAGGCTTGTTCAAGGGCACCGGCGGTTTCTGTGTAGCGTGTTGTGGGGCAGCCTGCTGGGGAGGCTGCGGCCTGGAAGTCGCAGATTTATCACGCTCCCCCTCCGATGCTTTTTGCGTACTCTGTGCGGTAAACAGTCCAATTTTGCTTTTGACGGACCCAGGTTCGGGGAGTCCTGTGGATCTGTCATCCGGTGGACGATCCGTATCGGTAGCATGATGTTTTGCATCAGCGGTTCCCTTGGATTTGTTGTCCATTCTCTGCGAAGCAGCCTAAGGAGAGCTCGCATTGAAAGCAGCATTAGCTTCTTGCGGAGCTGTCACAGTTTCACTGACATGACCACGGCCTGAATGGGGATAGTCGGAATCTCCATGCACAAGACCTGCGTCGCCTTGCCTTCTAGAGATAACGGCCTAAAGGTTCCTGTTCTCCATTGACTGGGCTCCGAAAGGATACCTACTATAGTGTTCACCTCGAATTAAACAAGTTGTAGGTGCCAAATCAATAAATCATGGCGTCAGATGGAAATATATTTGCATTTGTTGGTTGGGGAAGCCGAGGTGCGGACCTGAGAGTTCTACAGAGCCCGTGCGTCATTTTAGCGCCTGTATAAAGGTAGGGACCGCGATTAGGGCGTGCCAGACCTTATTAGGGGTTGCGTCCGGTCCTGGCGCCTTATCCGGAGGCGCCAGACTCTGGCACGCCCTGGCAGCAGAACTCATCCAGTGCCAATTGGATTGACTTTTCGAGATGCCACTCCAGCCATGAAGTAGAAGGTACTGCTTCTGGAATTGAAAAAGAGAAGTACGTGAATTTGGCCATGCTATGTGGGGAGTACTCCAGTTGGACCTTCGCTTCAGCCTCGGCATAGAAAATGGGCATTGGTACGTTTAGTCAATGTCAAGGACTATCAATCTACAAAGCAGTCTACCTCTGGTATTTTTCCTAGTGATTGTGCCATGTGTTAGACTAATGATACCATTCTAAGTTCTAATATAGAATGCCTCCAGAAAGCGATGTCGGTTCTCAGCATCGCGTGAAATAATAAATAGAATACCTTACCCACAGCCCGTATCTACTCCGTAGTAACTCTCCGGGGAACTTCTCCGTAACACATGATACGATAATGATGCTTCCCCCATACACAGCACTCTTGTTGTAACGCGCATGCTTGTTTAGCCTTCAGCATATACCTAGGTAAGCAACGTTCCCAGCACTCCCTCGGATTCCAATGGCCCTCAGCCTGAAATGAGCCTTTTTATTAAGCTTGAGGGTTTAAAGGTCTTTTCCCCCCCTCTTTTAGCCTTCCCAGTATTCATCCGTTTAATTAACCGAGAGACCAACTGAAAGTGCGGGGAATTCGACCTGGGGTTCGTATGGAATCACGGTTCGCATTTCTCTTCTCTCGTCTCCTGGTCTTGACTTAGTTCCTCCTGAAATCTTCCCCGCTCCCTAGCTTTTCGCCTCGAAGCTAAGCTACTCCCGCCTCCTCAAGCTGACTGTCTGAGGACAGTCTGCCTCCGCAATTTACCTTTTTTTGCTCCACCACCATCAATAACAGCTCTTGAATCCAAAGAGCTCGTGCTCACCACTTACAATGATGATGAAAATGTTGGCGCTTTCAGGACTTCCGTGAAGCTTATTCCTTTTCTTCAAGGAACCTGTGATCTCCATCCGCGCAGCTGCAATGCCAAATTCTGCTGATTTTCGACTTAATAAATCGTCCATGAGGCGCAATGACCCCAGAAAAGAGCGACGTTGGTCAAGGTACGCATTTGTTCTTTGTGATATATGCGACAGAGAGGCCAAATAGGTGGTAAACTGGTCAAGGATTAACCCAAGACATGGTAGAACTTGCGAACCACCATGAGGCCGAAACGGGAGCAGACGATACAAGCATCAATCGTGCTCGTGAAGTTCGGCTTGGCTCCGCCCCTGGTCAAACCAAGTGCTCGATTTGCCATAGTACTTTTCGAAGACCCGAGCATTTGAAGCGTCATTTTCGAAGCCACACTAAGGAGAAACCTTTCGAATGTGCGCAGTGTGGACGTCATTTCTCAAGAACGTATGTCATCTTCTTCTCTACTTCCCCCCTTTCCCTTCTCGTGGCAAACCCTAAGGCAGTTGCGGCCTCGGTATCGCAGTGTTCGCCAGGTCGAATAATAATGGTATTCCAAAACTGACTGCTGTCGCAAGTGACACACTCCATCGTCATGAACTAAGTCATCATACATTGGGACCCGAAGGGGGAAAGGATCGGATGCATCGCATTACGGTCAAGACCTTCAGAGCCTGTTACAAATGCGCAGTAGCCAGAGTAAGGTGCAGTGGTGGTTCCCCATGCGTGCGGTGCGAGAACAGGTCTCTAGAATGCCAGTATCCAACGGAACGACGCTCCAAAGCCAAAACGCGGAAGGAAGCGGCCCAGAACCTGTCTTCTGATGGAAACAGTACGATTCATGGACAGGCTACTCAGCATGGGTCCCCCTCTTCAACAGCAGGTGTTGATGTCCACGGAGCGGATATCAGAGAGCAATCAAGAAATGAGCCTCCGAGATTTCAGATTACCGAATTTCAGCTAGATCTTACCGGCCCACATCGCCTGGATACATCATCGAAAGATATGCCTGCAGAGAAACCGCACGGGCCTCTTGGAGAATTATCGGAGCATCAGAATGGTCCGCCAGAAAACGAGACGGGTGATTTGAACTCTCGAATGCTCTTGTCAGATGCTGGTGGTTCTGCGCACGAGACACGTGTATCGTTGCCTGAATATGCTGGGTTGAGCTCGCAGCATTTGTATGCACAATTGCCAGCAGCTGGCGTTCAGACATTCCCACAAGAATCGGCCTCGCAACTTGACCATCGGTCGAGACCCATCCAGCCACCAGTGGCAGCCACATCCAATCTCAATCTGGAATTGGCGGGAGTGGGAGGCCAGCAAATTCAGCTCGGGTTTGACCCGCCATTTTTAGATCAATCAATGCTTTCTACCTTGAATTGGTTGCCTAATGATATGTTCCCCGATACAACGAGTGATCAATCTCTCTCGAGGATTCCTCCGCTCTCGGACCAGCTGGGTATCCTGGACGAGCCGGTGAGTCGAACAGCATGGCTACCTCCTGTCACCAGTTTGCGACAAATGAGTCCCTCTGTGCGGGAGAATCACTCACACAGCCCTTCCGGGCACATGTCTGTGGGCACAGATGCGGAGAGTCCCGGTCGATTTTCCCGCAGCATTGGGGAAGGTTCATTACATTCGGAGCCCTCAAACGCCACCAAGCGGTCGGGAGATTTCTACGTGGACGGCGCTGGAGCTCGACTGCCAAAGTACCGACGAAACAGAACTTCGTGGTCAAGGTCATCTGCAGAACCTATTGAGATCCTGTCACCAATGCATCAGCATGATACGCTACATCAGTTCTCATTTCCACTGATTCAGGAGGTCAGGTCAGACTTCCTTCCGGGTGACGAAGCAGCCTTTGATCGTCGGATCGAAGCTCCGACCTATGATAAAATCTACCACTCATTCCTTCAGTTGTGCCGCACGGACAACCCTCTCTATCCCAAATTCGAGACTGGTAACTTTCCGAGCTCGGATGCTCTTTCAAGCTTTCTATATCTTTACTTCGACTCATTTCAGCCCGTGTATCCCTTGTTCCATTCCCCTACGTTCGACCCAAACAGCTGTCATTGGCTTGTAACACTGGCTATATCAGCAGTCGGCTGTCGTTTCTCTGGTCTCACCCCTCTTGATGAATGCACTACGGCGTTTGATGAATTCCTTCGGCGGGCTATCAATATTGAGGTAAGACATTCCGTTTTCGCTTGCGGACTAATCATCGCTGACCGAGTATGGCAATCCAGAAAGAGAAATGCCGTGTAGGACAAACGCCACTGTGGCTGATTCAGGCTATGACTCTCAGCTGCATCGGATTGCTACACAGTACCGGTAATGAGCAAAGTAAAGTGTCCACACTCAATGCCTTCGGCGACCTTGTCAATTTCACCATTCAGGAGAGATTGCTCTGCGCCGCAGTCAAGCCAATGGGTCAGTATGGCGATCTTCCGCTAGGACAAAAGTGGCATGACTGGGTTGAAGATGAAATACGAAGACGGACCGGGTATCTGATATGGGTATGCTCCTTTGAAAGACTTACCATGGACTATGCTCCGTCATATCTTGATCTGACATTCAAACGCTAGCTTCTTGATTGTTCCCTTGCGTACTATTTTGATAACCGGCCTTTGCTGTCGTTGGACGACGGGCAGTGTCCATTGCCATCTCATGAGAATCTCTGGAATGCGCACTCGGCCGAAGCCTGGCGGGATGTTCTTGAGAGAACTTCCGGTAAGTTCGACGGGAAAACCGAAAATTCTCAACTAAGACATCGGTTCTAGGTTTGCGAGATATCTCTCTGTACAATGCAGTGCTCACAATCTATATCGAGAAGAAGCTCGTCCCAGAGATCGGAGAATTCAGCCACGTCCTACTCATTCACGCTCTCTATCATCGAATGTGGGAGGTCGGTGACTATTTTCGGCGTCCCTTATCCTTCTGGAATCCGACCGCAAAGAAGCAGTCCCGTGATACCGCTATCCCGTCGGGGTCTGTCTGGCTGCCAGGCATCCCTTCGTACTCGAAATGGCGCAACAGCGCATGTGATTGCTTGGATATTTTGCATTGGACGGCGAACAGCACGATCGCCAAAGCAGCAGGACTTGAGCATCCTACCGTGCTACACCTCCATGCTGCCCGAATTATCCTTCTCGCCCCATTCCGCGAAATTCGTTCTCTGGCGACCTCATTGGCAATGGGCAAGGTTCGCTGGAGCGATCATCAGCAAGCCCTTGAGTGGCATTACATATTACGCTGGGTCAAACACGACCAGTACAAAGCTCGTCTTGCGATAATACATGCAGGCACAACTTTGTGGCACGTAAGACGTTATTCGACGAATGCGTTTCACGAGCCGGTCGCTGTATATCTTTCAATACTCACTTTATGGGCGTATGGCTCATGTCATGCCCAAATAGCCGAAGACCCCAACTCAAGATATGGACCGCGGCATCATCAAGTCCGCGAACCAACATTTATCCACCTAGACCGACCATGTGACGACGAGCTAGTCCAGCTCTTTGTCCGCGAGGGTCATGTTATGAGAGGAAACGTCACAGGTGTCGGGGACATATGTGCTCCACATGGTCCTGAGCGCATTTTGAAGGTTGGCTGCGAGACGCTTGCCGGGCTTACTTCATGGGGAATTAGCAAGAGATTTATTGCCATCCTTACGAAGCTCGCGGAGCTATCCTCGCAGTAACAGGCTCCTAGGACCTGATATTGTGTGACATGCACGGCGAAGCTAGCATTTTGGATCTGACGGACGATTGGGAGTTGGCCATATCTTATACAGGGCCAATAATGTATATAATGTCTGGTTACTGTAGGTTTTGTCCGAATACAATAGAATCTGAATTATGCCACTATTGTGGAAAGTAAATGCAGGTGATGTAATGTCACATGTGTCGTTATCTTATCGGGGACTGTTGTAGCCTAATCGTCGTGCATCAACACGCTTCTTGGCTACCCATATATTAGTTGTCGACATGTATGGCAGACTAGGGGTTCATACTTTACTCCTGACTTGCGAATGAACTTTGATACACCATGGACTCTGACGAGATCATTCCTGAAGAGGAGCATCCAAGTGTTCCTGTCGGAGATGAGGAGTCGGACATTGACGAAAAGTGAGGCTAACGCGCACCCTGCTTTCATCTATCAAAACTACTCAGTGTTGAGAGACAAAGTCATTAACATTATGCTACTCGCTGCTATAGATATCCTAATCGCCCGCGTAACCATTCCCCTACTCTACCTTTCCATGAGCTTTTCCAGACCCTCTTCAACCCTCTGAGCGAAATCAAAAAGAAGCCAGCCGGAGCGGTTGCAGCTCGCAGGAAAATCGGTCCCCATGGGCAATCAGCAGCGAATCTCAACCCCCTGGAGAGACGACGCGATGTGATCGATCGGTTTATCTCGCGGTGGAGGAAAGAAGTGGGCGATGATATATACCCCGCCTTTCGACTGATTCTTCCGGACAAGGATCGGGACCGGGCCATGTACGGAATCAAGGAGAAGGCTATCGGCAAAATGCTTGTCAAGATTATGAAAATCGACAAGAATTCCGAGGATGGCTTCAACCTGCTGAACTGGAAGCTGCCTGGGCAGGCAGTTACGTCCAGGATGGCGGGCGACTTTGCGGGGCGATGCTTCGACGTCATCTCGAAGCGACCAATGCGGACTGATGTGGGGGACATGTTGATTGAGGAGGTTAACGAGAAGCTGGACAAGTTATCTGCGGCTTCCAAGGAGGAGCAGCAGCTGCCGATCCTTGCGGAGTTTTACCGGCGCATGAATCCCGAGGAACTCATGTGGTTGATCCGCATCATCCTTCGGCAGATGAAGGTGGGAGCGACGGAGCGGACCTTTTTTGATATCTGGCACCCGGATGCGGAGAATCTGTACAGTATTTCGAGCAGTCTCCGGCGTGTCTGTTGGGAGTTGCACGATCCGAATATTCGGCTGGACGCTGAGGACAGAGGAATCAGCCTGATGCAATGCTTCCAGCCGCAGCTGGCTCAGTTCCAAATGCATTCGTTGGACCGCATGGTCGGTCGAATGAGACCGACGGAGGAGGATCCTGTCTTCTGGATAGAGGAGAAGCTGGATGGCGAGCGCATGCAGCTTCATATGGAGTCTGACGATTCAGTACCTGGCGGTAGACGATTCCGTTTCTGGTCAAGAAAAGCGAAAGAATATACATATTTATACGGCAATGGTATTCATGATGAAAATGGGTCCTTGACGAGGCATCTCAAGGATGCTTTTGCAGATGGAGTCCAGAGCCTGATACTGGACGGCGAAATGATCACATGGGACCCCGAGCAAGACGCTCCCGCACCTTTCGGCACACTCAAGACTGCTGCATTGTCCGAACAGAGGAACCCGTTCTCCACGACCGGCGCTCGGCCTCTGCTGCGTGTCTTTGACATACTGTACCTTAATGGGCGAGACTTAACTGGCTACACTCTTCGCGATCGTCGCAATGCTTTGCATAAGGCTGTCCGACCTGTCCATCGCAGATTCGAAATACAACCCTACCAAGAAGCTACGACTAAAGATGAAGTCGAAGCTGCGCTCAGAAAGGTGGTTGCTGAAGCTTCCGAGGGTTTGGTGCTCAAGAACCCCAGATCGCCGTACCGTCTGAACGAGAGGCACGATGACTGGATGAAGGTGAAGCCTGAGTACATGACCGAGTTCGGAGAGTCTCTAGATCTCATCATCATTGGCGGGTACTACGGCTCCGGTCGTCGAGGCGGCAATCTTTCAAGTTTTCTCTGCGGGCTAAGAGTTGACGATGCTCATGCCTCTCAAGGTGCGAGCGCGTCAAAGTGCTACTCCTTCTGCAAAGTCGGAGGTGGCTTTAATGCCGCTGATTATGCAAATATTCGTCATCAAACCGATGGTAAATGGATGGAGTGGAACCCAAAGAAACCTCCAACGGCGTATATCGAGTTGGCAGGTCGAGATGCTCAATATGAGCGACCGGACATGTGGATCAAGCCAGAGGACTCAGTCGTTATTTGTGTCAAAGCAGCCTCCGTATCAGCTAGTGACCAGTTTCGGATTGGGCTGACTTTGCGGTTTCCGCGTTTCAAACGGCTGCGCATGGACAAAGATTGGAAAAGTGCTCTGTCTGTGCAGGAATTCCTAGATCTCAAGTCGAACGTTGAACAGGAGCACCGAGAAAAGGAATTGAGTGTGGACAATTCCCGTAGGAAACGTGTCAAGAGGACGACGAAGAAGCCTCTCACGGTTGCTGGGTACGACATGGACGAAGATGTCAAGTATGCTGGTCCATCCGGGCATATATTTGACGGATTGAACTTTTGTAAGCTTTGCATTGGGCAGTCGGGCCTGTCTATTAATAGTGTACTAATGATGCGAGGCAGATATCCTGACAGATTCGAGTACGCCCGTAAAGAAAACAAAGCCTGAGCTAGAGCAGCTTGTCAAAGCCAACGGTGGCATGTTCTTCCAAACTAATAATGCAGCTCCTCATACAATCTGTGTGGCGGACAGAAGTAATGCTTTCCCAGCCTAATAATGATGTCTCTTTTAGCTGACCTGCATGCTAGGAACGGTAAAAGCTGCCTCGTTACAGAAGAGAGGCGATGTGGATATCGCCCGGCCGTCCTGGATTTTTGATTGTGTGAAGCAGAATGAGATTGACGCAGGGCTACCTGACTTGCTACTCCCTTTTGAGCCGAGGTATGTTCAAACACTTATCGCGGACTAGACGGACCTATGCTCAACTCGCTCTAGGCACGTGTTCTTCGCCACGCCGGGCAGACACGACGAAGTGGCATCAAATGTTGACCAATTTGGCGATAGTTACGCTCGTAACACTACGAGCGAGGAGCTCAGTGATGTATGTTTTCCGCATAACGTTTCCTTGAATGACTGCTGATCTCGTTAAGGTTCTGAAACAAATGACGAAGAAGCATCGTTTCGACATTGCCCAGTGTCCCGAGTCCGTCACGAAGCTCATTGAACGCATTCAAGAAAGAGTCAATTCTGGACATGAAGTGCCATGCGGGTGGCTTTTCAAGAGACTTACGATACTCTTCCCACATAAAAATGAGGATGAGTCGGAGTCTGAAAGTATGATTCCATCGGATGCTCACAGCCGCTTGCGGTTTGCTATCAATGTAGCGAGGTTTGCAGGCGCGAATATAGCCGAGACCTCAAGCCATCCCTCAATCACCCATGTGGTTGTCGATCCAGAAAGCTCGTCAACACAAATATCTTCGCTACGAGGGGAGTGGTCCAGAAAGCCTGGGACGAAGGTACCACATATAGTCTCTGTTGACTGGGTAGAAGAGAGCTGGAAGCACCGAACGCTATTGGATGAGGAGAGTAAGTCATACAATGTAACTTTCCTGATGAGTAGCATCTAATTCAATTGCGCAGGATTCCAGCCCAAACGATGAATATCTGGCATCGCTTAAACGTTCGGCCAGGATGAACCGAGACATAGATCCGGGTCTTGAATCTTGGGCTTCGCCCTGCAATAAAAATTAATCTAGTTCATGACTCATAATGACATACAGTGACGAAGGACACACAGGCCCATTAGTAGTCTAGCAGCTGCACTGGTGCCCAAAGAAGATACCCCATGCTCCTTGTTGATTTGGACGGAATAGTAATTGCTTCCCCACACGGTATCAAGAAACGAAATCTTAGCACTGTACGAAATATCTAATTTTTGCTTTACTATGGACTACATAGTGCGGAGTAGATAGTCGATCCCTGCACCGTCGTATAAACTTCCAAGGAAACTGCTGGATACGATTGGATAGAGATAAGGCTTGCAAATTACTTCGTGCGACTGGGCAACCCGACAATTGATAATAGATGACTGGTCATATACTGATTAAGGCATTAAAATTACTTGATCCAGGAATGTATATTCGGTGCTTTGTAAAGCAATGTTTACTAACATTATTCGAACAGCAAGAATGAAAGGAGAGAGACGCTGATAGTATGTGATACCAGATCCCGCTTTCACATGTCGCTATTTTTTCACTCACTTACTTGGCTGCCTTGCTGAGTTTGCTTCCATTCATAAGGCTAAGATGTGTTTCATATACTCCGTAAAGCAAGAAAGAAAAATTCCATTTCGCTTCGCTATATGTACCACGCTAGAAAGGGAAACAATCCTTCTGCCATATGAGACAAGTAATGGCAAGTGATTTGTTCAAACCACTGTAGATGACTCCAGTCCAACCAAGCGCCGTGCTGTCTATGCTCCAACCAAAGATAGTCTCTGAATATGTACAGAATGCGGGAAATTGAAAACTGGGATAAACCCAAAATAGATACTGATATTGTTTGGAAACAAAGGAAAAAGGTAGGGGGTCAACAGTTGGGTAAGTAAGCAGAGGCAGAAGGAGATAGACGCAGGTATCAGGCAGAAATTCCGATCCATCGTGGAGGGATTACATGCTCGCTGTCTTCTTCGTGGCCGTGCTCATCAAAGTCGTAGACTGTGAAACGATGCTGGATGCTTTTCCGTGGTGGTAACCAGATCCGCGCCCGGGTCGGGATGTCGTCCCGAAGCTTTCCGCGACGTCTCATGTTCATTTCGAGAACAACCATGCGCAAAAAATCACTGTTCTCCCGCGGTTCTCGGGGACGTGAGAAGGCCGGATGCTCTGGATCGAATGAAAGTAATTGTCGATCGCGGCTTGCGGAGCC